CCCATGGGGCGGTTGGATGGGACAAGATTGTGGATCTGACTTAGCCCGTCAATTGCTGCGTCCGAGCGTGGCGGTGGTAAGGGCGCCGAAGGGGGAATGATGCGATATCTCGACTTGGCGCTAGCGGCTGCGGTACCACGTTGCCTTTGGGTTTGTCAAATCTGTCACCAACTGACTTGCTGCCGGAATCCACAATGGTTTGTGCTTCACCGATCATGTTGGACGTCTACTCAGCGGATCCAAACCAAGCGGGTGTCCTTAGATTGGGTTTCAGCCTCCCAACTCCCATCCCTATGCCAGGACTGCGGACCGATAGCACTGCGGCGCATACGAAAGCAATTATTCCACCATGTCGGTCTTTAGGCAGAGCCCCTCGTCGCCCCGGGCCAAGCACATGTATTAGGAACTTGCTGCGTTCCAGAACGACCGGGACTTGCGTTAGATGGAAGTTCTGGGCACCGCCGACGCGACCATTCGAAGCCTCGCAAAAGCGCCACCCAAGACCTTGGCACAACGCCCTCCAGCATGGAGCCGCGGATAAGGGACGTGGCGGCAGGGTGTTGCTTTTCAGCCGGCAGGACGAAGCTTTTCACAGTGCTTCGTTCCGCGGTTTCGGTGGCGCCGTGTTACAGAGCCCAGAAATGGACGATATCCACGATGTGGTGTTGAGTTTCCAGCAGCGGAATGCACATCAAACGGCGGACTCTTCCCCGCCATCTGGGGAATTGTGGAGTGGCTTGGCAATGCTAAAATCAGCCGGACTTGATTAGGCCGCCCCGCTCACCAGGTGCTGAACTTGCCTGGTGTGCTCTCGAGAGTCCCGCTGTCCGCTACCGGGGGTAGAGCTTACGAGAGCCCAGATTGGTGCGTCGGATAAATGGAGCACTGGCCTCCTGCAATTCGCCAGCACCATCCAACGCCCACGGCGCCAGCGGAACAATGGAAGCTGCTTAGTCCTTGCATGGCCGCCTACAAGCATCATGGATAGTAATAGCATTGGTCTCTGGTAACTTTGAACGTCCGCTGGACCCGGACCACGGTGTTCAAGCGACACTGGGCGCGGCATTTGCAGCAAGATTTGCGTTACTCGCACGTGGCCCCGCAGCGGTATCGCAGACAGTTTGTAATCGTTGCGCTGCCCCGGCGGATAGCCTACGAATCCAAACACCAAGACGGCGTACACGATGTCATGCCTAGAAACGCCAACGAGCACACCAAGCTGATCGCCCATGTGCTCGTCGCGTGGCCGTCAGACGGCTTCCAGGCAGATCAGCGAACGTTGACTTCGCCCCTCGCCTGCTTGCACCATCTCAACGCTCTGCATCTCCCAATTACGTGCTGCACGATCATCTAGTTGCGTTACTGCGACGCACTCGAAATGCATGTCAAATACTCCCGCCTATGGCAGGGCTCCCCAGCTGCATTGCGAGCCGTCAGCGCCGGGAACGTGCGCTCGCCTTTTCGTAAACATGCTTGAAGAGAGATTGCCTGGCTCTGCGACCAACCACGCCGCAATAAAAAGACGGTATCCATACTCAATACTGACATCTCAACAACGAATTTAGAAGCAGATGCAAGGTAAGCCCCAACAAGCGTTTATTGCTTTTTCACTTCGCGAGAGCACCCAGAATCAGGGTCGCATTATCTCTTGGTATTCATTTATCTGTGTTATCAAGCGCGGACGTCGGCTATGCGCGTCTAGCAAACTATCGTATGCAACGTCGTCTAAGCGCAAACATCCAGTCTGGCAACCGATGGGTCGTGGTCGCTGATTTGCGCGTCGTATTCTGGCCATGTGTTTACGTGAATGTGTTCAAACTCCGCCTTGCTCTTCTTTGCCAAAGACGGCGAGACGAACATGTGGTCCAACTCTTGGGCGTTCATGTCGAAAAGGTAAGTGTAGCGCTCGACCTTGTCAATCTTGACTACCTCGTCCATATCCTTGAGTCCGCTGATCTTGGTGTACTCTTCCAGAGGCTGCACGAAGGCAAATTCGTTAAAGTCGCCTGCAGTCACGATGCGGGCGTTTTTGTCCTTTGAGAGGATATCCTGTATTCCACTGTCAGCCATGTTCTCGTCTTTTTCGCCAATTTCAATGATTCAGGGGCAGAAAAGGGCATTCCTTTCGTGCGAAGATGGCGTTCTTGGTAACACCGAAGGACGAAGGTACGAGAAGCTTGCTGCAGCCACCCCTCTCCGCGCCGCCGTGCCGCATAGAGCCGCAACCGACATTTGAACGTACCTTGACAAAGTTTGCGGTGAGACGGGACTGCTCAAGACGATCGTCTAGAAGCGCATTGTTAGCGACTATTGTATGAGCTGATTCAGTTTGATGAACTTACCTACGCCACCGTTGACAGGTGGTCGAGCATCTCCGTGCAAGCTGCTGCTTCCTCCCTTGGAACCAAAGTGTACATTGACGGTAAAGAACACGTCCGACTTCTTCGCGCCGGCCTTTCCGATAACCTCCCATTGCGCGGCCAACGGCTTTCGGCTCGCTGTCCACGCAGCATTGGCGGGTTCGATACGTCCGGGGTTATACTTGAGCGTCGGGCCAGCAAGCACTTCGTTGGCATCGAGCGAACCACCTGGGTTGGGCTTGTAGAGGCGGATCAGATTTGGCTTGTACAGGTAGGCGACACGGATGTTACCACCTGGCTGGCCACCATCCTGATCGTCGACAGGCACGATGTCTGTGAATGTGTAGTTGGGGCCGCCTGCAGCTGAGATGGCAGCAGTCAGAGTGGTTAGGGTAAGGTTTGCGGATACAACTGCGAGAGGTCAGTATTAAAGTTATGCACGGGTTCACAAGCCGACGGTGTGTATCGTAACATGTATAGGACGCGTGAAAGGTAGGACAGCTCGTGCGTGGCCCGCTAGCGGATACCGCATCTGAACAGCGAGGGAAACGGTGTCAAGCAAACTTTCTAGAACACTTACTTGCGTCATTTGTAGGACCGTTGTCGTCTTGTACTTCCTGTACGAAGATGATATCTGGACTCTTCATGTAGTTCACAATGTGGTTTGCCAGGTCAGGATGGTGGTCAGACGTAGGTGCCAAGTTCTCCACGTTGTAGGCGCCAAAGGTGATGCCGTCGCATTTGCCGTTCGACACGAGCTTTGTCGCTGAAGGAAGGGTAGGCTTCTGGCTCTTGGTGACCTTGATCGCGGTCGTTGGGAGGATTCGGTAGAAACCGAAAGCGTAGCTGACGATACCAGTGATCTCGTCAATTGAATCACCCATCTTGGCGTCAGTGGGGTTCTTGGTTCCGTCGAGCGGAGTGCCGATGACGATTGTCTCTGGGTTGGCGTCCTTGTCGGTGATGGTCAATCCACCGCGGTCGTTGCGACCCGACACCTTCCAGTTTCCAGCAACCCACGTATCGCCGTATTGGTTGGGCTTGGTAAGCACAGTAGGCTTCTTGACCGTAACTAACTCGCCAGACAAGCTCTCCCAGAAGTCGAGACCGTACTTCTTAGGCTGCAGCTCAGGGTTCGCAACGCTGATCTGCGATACATTGTTCGGCACAGCGAAAACGTCTCCGCCATCCAAACTGCTGTACTGCTCGTTTGGTGGGTCGCGAGTATCTTTGCCAATGACCAGCGGCTTTACAGCAGCTCCTGAGCTGAGTCGCCCCTGTAATACCGGTGCCGAAAGCTCGGTCAGGTAGATGTAGTCCTTGTTCGAGCGGTACTCGAGCACCTTTCCTCCCACGACAATGGTATCGCCAACCGTCAAGTTCGCGCCAAAGGTGCGACCGAAAACGTACAAGGACTCGGATGTCCGTTCATCGCTGTCGGGCTTTGTCGATCGCAACCAAAGGCCATCAGGCCCCTTCGCTGTGACAACACCGGTTACGTTCGAAACAGTCTGGTCCTTGTAAGGCGAGAGGAACTTGTTGCCATTGATCTCTGCAATCGTAAGCGCAGTAGATACTGCCACAGACGCCGAGAGGGCGAGGAACCGTGTTATAGGTGCCATAACGAATGGAACGAAAGTGATTCGGAATGGTATCCTCCAAAAAACTGTGGCTCCGGCCCTATCTTCTTATAATCCCCATACTGCCATGCAACCATGCGTTCCAAGAACCCGGTCCCGGTGCTCTATCAATGACGATCGCGCTACACTACACTACACTTGACCTGTTCCTGACTTTTATCGCCGCATCGCCGCCCGGCCTAGCCGTTGACAATCCACCGTCACTAACTCATAGTTGCACTTGCCTATCAGAGCAGGAGAATAGCATCTCGCCGCTCACGCGCGAGCTCCGATGCCTCTTGGCAATACCACAAACTTTCTTGTCGTGCTTGACCACTTTATCGACGCGTGCTGCGGCGCGTGTGCTGTCATTGGCTTGCTTTCGAGGTGCTGGGGTGCGGGACCCTGGCTGGGCGCGGGCCGAGGTCGTAGCTACTTCGGGAAGGTGGACGGTGATTGGTGCGAAAGCGGGATGCTGGGAGATTGGGCGGCGGGTTCCGCTAGTGGTGGGGAAGCGATCTAGGGACATTGCTATCAATCAGACGGGAGAGATAAGACACGTGTGTTATTGTCGCATGCGGATTATAGGAGGCGAGGCTTGAGCAGGTGTGGCGGTGGAAGGGACGGGTGATAGAAGGATGAAGGATGGTGGAAGATGAAAGACGGGGGCGAATAGGAGGAGCGCACGTGGACTTGGCGTAACAATTTCGATCTTTGGTGTAAGGGCATATTTATTTCGTAGATGATGGTTCTAGCATCGGACGCGTGATGATGTGTCATGAGATATGCAAGCAGTAACAAGCTCGTGCCTCGTAAGTCGTACTTGATTAAAATACAAACCTAGAGGTAACCCGTCCTTAACGTAGGAAAATGCAGGATACATCGAGCACGTATGGGTCATGGTATACTTGGATGCAGAACGTAAAGAAAGGAGTTTCTTCTTAAGCAGCACTAGCAATTGCGCTTCATGCAATAATGATACTGATAGTCACGCATCTGCAACGTGTAGTAACCCAGCCTTCTAATCCTCTTCACTTTCCCACCCGTACCCTTTATCCCACATGCTATCATTGCCCAAGCCTTCAGAGAGCCAATAAGAGCGCTCTTTCGTGTACTTTGCGTCCCTCTTCGCTTGAGCTATGGCAAGCGCTACTGCCATTCTGGGAGTCGGTGTTTTCGATGGCGGGTGATCTTTGCCAACTGATCAGTTCGTCAGTGTCCTAGGATGAGCAAGGAGGAGGGCGACATACCCATCTCCGTATCTCCATCTCCTGTTGCATCATGTTTGGCATCCTCCTGGGTTCGATCTACACTGCTGATGCTATCGTTGCGGCTGATCAGGCAAGCTTCGTTTGAATTAGATATTCTAGCTTTCTTGGGCTCGCCGTAGTCTACGGAGCGAGCGAGTGAGGAAACTCGCCGTTTCGAACCGGTCGCTGCGGACCAAGCATCTTGTGGGTGAGCAGTTTCCGGTCGAGTGGACGTAGACCCTTGGCCGATAGATGGAGTGAGGAAATGGTGACTCTTCCTGGAACCTGCGCGCTCTGGTGGCCTTTGTATATGCTCTCCTTGAGTTGGTGCTGGCTCAGGCGACCGCGGATTGTCAAACGGGAACTCGTACGGTGTTGGGGGTAATCCCATCATCACGATAGGGTGTGTCAGGTACGACATGTCTGAGTTTCGACGATGTCCTCTTCCTCCCGTTCGTACCGCTCGTTGAGGTCTAAACTGCGAGACTGGCTTACCCAATGGGTTGCGTGGACTAGATGAGATACCCGGTAGGCTTTTCTTTATCTTTCTCCAGACAGCTGGAAATAGTAAAGTGTTAGCCAGCTGATCTGAGAGGGTGAGATGGATGTCATTTACCTGGAGTCCTTGTTATCAGACAATCTTGGAACTTGACACGTATACGAGTGGGGTCCTTGAGTGATGTGTCTTCTGTCGATGGTAGCGAGGAAACTTGCTCTGGAGAAGTTCGTATATCATCGGCTGGTGGAGATTGTTGTGCGAAGACTGGGGCAGACTCTGGCAACGATGGCGTTGGTGAAGTCGCCCATGAAGGGTTCAGAGCATTGTATCGCCACGGTAGGTATTCGAATTCCATTTCCTCAATGTTTTGAGCTGCAGTAATGAGCTCACTAACACCACCTGGGTAGGTTGAATAAGCTATGAGGCGGTAGCATGCTTCGGATATAGGTGCCTTCTTTTTTTCGTCCTTTTTCGTGATGTCAATGAGAAGCTTAGCCGTTACGTGACGGAAAACTTCGAGTATGAGATCAACCAGCAACCGGCTTGCCAGAATATCCTCTCGTCGCCTCTCAAGGATCTCAAGAGATTTGACCTCTTGGCGGAACTGAGGCGTTATGAGGAGTTGAGGGGACTTGCAGATCTGTGATTCAAGGAAATATTTTCGAATCTCAATCAGATCAAGGATACCCCGCTCCAACTCTAGATAACGTTGAAACATAAGGGGGTGCTCGACCAATCTCTGTACAGGTGCTTCTGAGAGTACCCAAGGCTCTGGTATGATAAGCGGCTCTGGTGCTTTGAGGCTTTCGGTAGCCTTACAGTAGATGCGAGATTTCAACTCGTCACACCGCTCCAGGGCCTGCACCTCCTGTGCAGCTATGAGATGTTGCATGTTGGCCCTTCGTTCTGCAGTAGCAGCATCAATTGCATCCCAGGAAGCTCTTCTCGCAATGGGAGGGCTATGAAGCTGTTAGCACATCGTCGTAGCATTCTGCCTGCTACATAGACAGTAGGATTTTCGATGTTTTCCAGAGCGATGTGTGTAGACAGCAGAATACTACGCGCTGCCGCTAAGTCCTCTTGCACAGGGAGAAGTATAGGATGCCGTAAGAACATACTGTTAAGAAGTTAGCTGGGTATGCTGATAACTCGTAGTGGGCGCCTCACCCGATAGATAGAGTCCGGTGAGGCACGACCCTCCACGTTTGTACCGACCGTGTTAGACTCTTTTTCGACCGTGGCGTCTATGGTTGGCGTCGCGCTGTCCGATCTGCCTCTGCTTACGAAGGCATGTAGTTCATTGGCCAGGGATCTGGGGAGATCTGCCTCGTACAAATCCGTGTTGGTATCATCGCTCGTGGGAGAACAAGTCTCACCGTCCCCAGGACTACCGAAAACCACAGATGACGACATAATGTTGCGATTTCGGGAAAGGCTTGGGTGTGTATGGGTGCTTGCGTTTATTCCTTTAGCGAATCCTGCATGTTCTTTCGATGCGCGACGGATGAAGGCTTGTCCAAAGAGCTGTTGTAGCAATATTTGTTGAGTGATAGCCTACACACGTTAGTAGGTTACTTATCCCGCGCACAACTTGCTCACCAGACTTGCGTTGCCAATGGCAATGAATATACTGAGTATGTACAAGGGAACATTATGGTGTTCTGGGGATCAAAGCACTTGTGTGGTCTTTCTGCCGTCCAGATCATCGAGGGAAGCGCATACCTAGTCGTGTGAAAAAGGAAAGAAAGACTGTATGCCGGTAGGGGAAGGCACTAGGTCGAACCTCGCAACAGAAGGAACAGATGTAGAATCCCTTCAACACCCTCAACACTTCTACCTCCCAACCCCGTAGCAACCTGGTAGCTCTTGTACCACCGGACGTCCCTCTTTCGGTTGCCACATTTCTACTCCTGGCATCTCGTACCTTTCCAACATCTTCCATTCGAACTTTGCAGGTCTCGGCTTCAAAGATTGCTCCATCACAACAACACTGACACCATACGGCTTCTGCTCGTTTCCATAAGTTCGTATCAAGCTGGCTCGATTTCTTCTGATATTCTTGCGCCTTTTGGCCCGGCGATACATTAGGATCAGCACAAACGCCGTTATAGCTGCAGTAAAGACTGCGCCTACAGCTATGCCCGCTATCGCGCCGGGTGGAAGAAACATTGCATATAGGTTGGTCGGAGTTGAGGACCTTGGGATCTTTGTCGGAGTGATGTGAGTCGCAGACGGGATGGCGGTGGCTACGATCGTTCGATTGTTTACGGCGAGTGGATCGGAAATATATCCTAGTCTTCGATGTGGAAGAGTCGATTGCGATAGTGTATGTATGAACGTGGCCATGGATGTCTGGGAGTAATGAAATGTTGATTTTATGATTGTCGACGACTTACGCAGCGCACTATTCAATACAGTTCCGGCTCATAGACGAACGGCGAAAAGCACAGCTACTTGCACACCATCTCGCATGCCACTTTGCCGTTCACAAAGCACAAGGAGAAATGATTCGTAAGATCAATAGTCGTTCATTTCCACATCGCGCCGATCTGACAAGGCCTATTATTACCAGCAACTTTAAGCGGAAAACTCGTTAGCATATATTACTTCTTTAGGATCGTAAGGCCTAAGGTGGTCTGAGATCAGGCTGTGCCTGAGCGTTGAAGGATTCGGCTGACATCGAGAGCGATGAATTCGGAGTAAATCTGACCCGCGCGCCACGACGCATGGTACAGAAAAGGGGATTTTTGTATCGTTGGTGGCGTTGTGTAGGTACAGCTGTCAGCTGCATATAAGCGTTGCAAGCTCCTACGATTTATGTACTCTTTTGTTTTCGATCAGGAGGAAACACTTACAAGCATGGTAAGAGGAAGAGAAAATGGGTGATGGCATACGAAGTCCGAGCGTTGGACAGGCGCTAGAACGGAAACGGTATTAGCGTCAGTCTCATGCACAGCGGTATCCATGGAGGGAAGCTATATTGAACGAAGTATGACGTTCTCAAGGATTTGAGCCTTTGATCTCACCAACAATATTCGATGGATAAAGGGGTTCGCATACCTCTAAAGTAGAGGGAAAAGGGTATATTATAGAAGCTAAGGTACGCGCCCGGGCATCCGCCTCCCACCAAGCGAGACAGCTTTGTAGGGAGGAATCGGAGGGTATATGCCCAAGTCGCTAGAAGTAGAAGTTTAAAAAAACAACAGCAAAAGCCCATCCCATCAGTACCCCGTTCCAGGTCTGGACCCTAACCTCGTGCCGTATTCCCATACCTATGCAAACTCCAGCCCATCCACCCATCATAATCCTGTAGTCATAACAAACGCAAACCATCTAAAAAGCAACACCTACTGCTCCCGGGCTAAGCGTCATCAAGCTTCTTCTTCCATTAACACCAACATCCTTAGCACTAATTTCCATACCCTTGAGCAGATCAAAGTTGGGGCTCATAGGCGGCTTCTCATTCATAAAACCCCTTGTACTTCTTCCACTCAACAAGCCAGCCTCGGCAGCAATCTCCTTCTCCTTGACGAGTGTCAGAGGCGCAGGAACACGACGTAGCTTTCTAGGTGGCGAAGATGTAGCGACGGTGGAGAGGGAGTTGGTTGGCGAGGATGAGCGGGTGGAAGGGTAGGATGTGGAGAAGAGTGTAACGGTAGCTGTACCGTTGCTCTCTTGGCTTTCCTGACGTGTGTGTAGTGTGCGTGATCCTGCAGTCGAAGGACGCGAAGGTGAGGTGGGAAGGGCGGGATGCGGTTCGCACTTGTAGAAGGAGTCGGCAGTCTTCGGGGTTGTAGGACGCGAGCCGGATGCCAGAGTGGAGGTCGAGCGCTTGATCCAGGCTCCTAGCCGGGCGATTGGTGTAGTGGGTGTGGCGGGTGGTGGTGGTGTAATGGGATTCGAGTTCAAGGGACCGGTGTGGGAGAAGGAAGGTGGTGCGAGCCTGAGTCCCATTGTTGCCCGGCGGGCTGGGATGTCTGCCTCTGGGGTGGTGGGAAGCGGCTTGAAGCTCAGAGGGGCAGAGAACGCAGAGCCGATATCCGAAAGGGTTTCAGAACGGACATGCATGCGCATGGATGGCGCAATGTAGGGTACGTGGTGAGACGGAGAGGGTGGAGGACGGTTGACAAGCGCGGGTGATTGAGCGTTCGTGCGATACGCGCTTGCACGGCGTTCCTCAATGATGGTGTTTAATTCGCGAATAGCATCATCTACATCGGTCTTTGTACGACGGAGACTGCCTGGTCGAGAGGACGGTGCAGTACTGGCACGATTGCGCGATGGCGATGGTAGACGTGAAAGTACACGAGCAGGTGACAAGGTACCAGATGTGCGCGAACGCTGAATGGTAGGCTTCTCAAGTATCTGATCACCAGCAATCTGTGAATGCTCTGGAAGGTATGCCAGTGTAGGCGTAGCCATAGTACCCATGGTGGTTCCTGAGAGTCTCCTCTCGTGCGTGGTGGTACTCTTCTGACTTTGAACACTGCCCCGTCGAGATTGCCCACCAACTGGTTTACGTTGAATGATGAAGGAAGGTTCTGAAGATATAGAGCTCGTACGTGAGTCTCTCACCCGAACGTGTGCCTCAGCAGGACGCTCTAGCTGCGATTGTAGACTATCCCATTCATCTTGACCGTCGAAATCAGGCAATGGAGATAGATGACCACAGCCGTTGGGAAGATAGATAGACAGCTCAAGGGGGCGAAAGCTACGACGGCGGCGGATGGGCATGGAAGCGTCATTGAGCATCGAGGGTATATCATCAAGACCATCGAAGTGGCGGAAGTCAGTTGGACGACTAATGCTGGGTCGAGAGTGTGAACGCCTTGGCCGCGCAAGGGTCGAAATGCTCGCACGAGATGAGGCACGTGCTGCGTATTCGCGACTGTTGGAAACCCATTGCGAGACGTGACGGCTCATCGACTGGCTCGTTGATGGACGCTGTTGTATCGGCTCAACGCAAGGCTGTGGTACGGGTCGCGGTTGTTCATAGCATATCCGCATATCAGTTTCGCCTATTGATCAAAAGCGTTAGCATCATGTTAGATTAATCGAGATTACCCCATATGGTCCCAACATATTGGAAAGGTGTTGGAAACCATCGTCCGGGTATAGTCGCGCATTAACAATATTAAGGAGAACGCAAGAGCTGCATGATGCATCTCAACAAGAACGTTGGAGTTGAAGATCAATAGTGAGCTGTCGGCGAAAACAGACAAAGGAGACGACGAAGATGTTGAGCGCGAGAAGAGAGCGCAACAAGAACTAGTAGACATGACGATGAAGAGTGAAAGGGAAGTTCAGACATACCAGTAGCTCTCAGCGGGTCGCTTCCATCGTTCGCAAGGTCCTCTTTCGATGCACAGCATCCAAATTTGATGGCCAGCCATGGGGACCTTGGTTCCTTCTCTTGTACCCTTCCGTAATTCATCTTCTTTTTCTGCTGTAGACCAGTACAGCTAACAATCCATCATCAAAACAACCCAGAACAGTCGAACGAGAAGCGTGGTAGAGAATGTCGCGCCCGAAGAAGGCAAAAGCAAAGACTAATAGATACTAGGAAGAGGGTAGAAGAAGGCAGGAAAGTATGGTAAGGATGGAAGAAAAAGGCTGACTGCGCGAACCATTCGGATAAAGTCGCAGCTTGTCGACGAATGTGTTGTCCCGCAACTGGTGGTTCGCTTCTGAAATGCGCAAGCCTGTAGGTTCTGGCCGTCAGGAACAGCAAACCACTCGCAGCTCACAGGACGACAGTGGCTCGCATGTTATAGATGAGGCCTGTCCCTTACCTTTCCGTAGGCGCCCAATGGCAGCGCACCCCTACCATGGTGGTTGTTAAACTCACAAGTTAGTTCGCGTTGAGGCTTGCGTGCATTGAGTTGAGATGGTAGGGTGTGGGGTTTGATTGGCCAGGGGAATAGAGTAAGCGCTCAAGGCAGAGCGGAGACTTGCAGTAACGTGGACCAGTGACAAGGCAATAGCGCTTGCGGCTTGAAACTGCCAGAAGCCTTGTCGGCATGTGGCGTGCTGGGTTCCCCTTCGTTGGACAGTCTGGCATCAGGGCTGCTGCTTCATATCGGGTATGTTCGAGCATGCGCACAGTTGTCGCGTCCTCGAGCGGATCATCATGACAGTGCGGGGATGCCTTGGAACACTGGATGCTGTTTGCGAAGTTTGAAACATGCGCAACGCAACGAACGTCATTGTTTGAGATTTTTGCAGAGGCAGATTCCGATAGATGATGGTGTTGTTGAAATTGATGAGGGCCGAATGCTTTGTTCGGTAGTTGTAAATCGCGTGCACGCCCGACCCATCGGTCGTGGAGGCTCTCGCCAAGTTCCCTCCCGCACTTGCGTACATCGTAGGATCCGCGCTGCAGCGAATCGGTTAGCTTGTCGTCACTTCTCACAAAATACCTTTTGGTTAGCAGTGTGCGATTGGTGAGACGAATCATTCTTGAAACAAGCATAGAGAAATTCGCAACTCCTCTCTCCCAATCGAAATCAAGAGCGGGCTTTTCTTGTTTCTCAAAGCATCTTTTCGTCGTACTGAGTTTTGCTGGTGCCAGCACATCAAGGCAGACCTGGACGCCTTACTCTGCAGAAGCATCGCACGCGAGACAAAATCTCCACCTGCGTCTCGATTGGGAATACGACACAGACATCCACTAGGGCTTGGATTGATAGGCTGCATGTTTTGGGACGACAGCGGAAACGTATGCACGTCGGACCGCAAGCTGCGCTTGTTAGTTCAAAGTGCGATAAACATCTTCGTGGTCAAGGTTTCGATTTTATCCGACCAAACAAGGAAATCGCTGACATTCTAACGCCGCAGAAAATATATCGCAAGGTGTAATATGTGACATGAGCTGGGGTATAAAACAGATCGTCGGCCCAAAATCTGACGAAGTAACCTTCCAGGAAATCGGAATCGTAGATGTGTCATCAGTCGGCATTCCAAGCGTTGCGCTCTTCCCTGAAACTGCCGTAGGACGGGCTGGGGTGATCATCGTTCTCGTCCTCATCTTGCGTCTTCTGATTGCTGACATCGCGTGATTCCCAGTGATTGGCTTCGCTGACGATGTGTGGTTTGATATCATTCTTTCTCTGCTCCTCCTCGCTTTGGTTCTCCGTGAACGGATAGTTCAGGTTATGCTCAGCTTCTGGGTTCTGTGGCTCAGGCTCATCTGGGTTGAAGCCCTCTCGAACCTCTTCTTCTTCGCCCGCCTGGTACGTTTTGCTGCAATCTTCATTAGTCTCATACGCCACCCCGGATGTGGAGAGCAAACTTACACAAAGTGCTTAGAAGGAACTTCGTTCCATCCCGGACCACCTTCCTTGCGTGCCCTGACACGATCGACTTCCTCAGCTTGATGATCCTCCACGACAAGATCCACAAGTTGGCTCTTGTCAGATTTGGCTGAGCTTGAGGAAGACGACTTTTGGCGGAGAAGGTTGGCGAATGGGTCGCGCGACTTGGAATGAGATGACTTTGAGCGAGAAGATTCTCCTTCGCTCGAATGACTGCGCTGTTTGCCCTTGTCTGCAGAGTCCTGAATGTCTTGAATCTGGCTCTTCCTTCTCCGTTTGTTTTCCTTGGTGGGTTGCAGCAGGTTCCGGTTGGTCGATGCGGTCAGAATGTTCGGGTCGGCGTACATGCGGTCTTCGCGAGACGGACGGTGAGCTTCGATAACGGGATACTGCAGCTTGGTTAGATCGAAACCCATCTTTGAGAGGTGCCTACTTACGTTCCAGTCTCCGAACTCGAGTTCACGAGCGTTATCATATAAGCGCTCTTCCTCGGCGTCCAGGTTGGGCTCTTCGACCGTGTCTGGTGTACCGTACTTGGCACCCTCGCCCTTGAGAGCCTTGTGTGGCCCGGGGCTCATGGCTCTGGCGCGGCTCGATGTAACTTTGCTGAGGAGGGGCTCATGTTCTGATCCTTGTCCAGGCTTAGGGATCCAGTACTTGCCCTTTCCTCCTCGTTCATATCGCATGCCCTCAGCCATACGTGCAGCACGCGATGATGACTCCTCGTGTGCCAAAACGTTGTCGCGCGCATCAAAGTACCGATATTCATAGTTCTTACCAGCAAAAGTTTCTTTGGTGTCTTGGATGAGATCCAGAGGGCCAAATGCGTCACGCAGAGCGTACTTGACGGGTAACCGTGCGGCAGAGATGGTATCGTCGGCATAGTCGTGCCAGGAAAAGGCATACCAATGGGCAAGTGCAAAGAGTGGCATCTCGAAGCAGATAAGAGCATCCTGTATAGCAGCGGCCAAGTTATCGGGGCTGTAGCCAGGTACGTCGTCTGGAATGGCTCCCAAGAAGACAAGGATGGAAAGGAAGAATCCTTGCCAATAAGAGGCGAAGATGATGCCCTTGATGCACAGGAACTTGGGCATGGGCCGGAAGGGCTTAAGATCGGTGGACATGCACACCCAGAACATGGCGAGGGCGTACAAACTGATCGTGATGCTGACGTTGTAGATCATGCCGCTCCAGAAGTAGCCAGAAGTCCATCCTATGTATCCTTCCTGGTATGTACCGGTAGCCTTCATGATGATGGTCGCCACAGACAGAAGAGGCTTGACCCACGTGTATTGCAAGATTCCACGCTTAATGGCGAGGAAGGTGTGTGGGTCGGATATGTCGATCTTGGAGCAGACGAGGTTGAGCGGCCACGGGTGGGATACGGGCGGGCGGCCGGTCATGAGGATGATGAGGGCGCGTTCGCCGCCGATGAAGTTGATAAGCAGCTGGAGGAAGGTGTAGATGGTGAAGGCCTGAGCCATGCGTCAGTGATAGTTGCCAGAGGGAGAGATTGTATGTACCTCGTAAACGTCTCTGAAGGGCTCCACGTAGGACGCTGCAATCGTCGACACCAAGCTGGCCCATGATGCGCCTGCGTAGATGGGGACCCTTTATGATATGAGCAATGACATACGACTGCTGGAGAGAGTGCATACATGAGCAAGATACGGATGACATATCGCTGCAGCACCGGTTTACGGTAGTTCTTCCTATGTCTTGTTCAGCATACGGGCGCCAGCGGTCGGCCGGTTCGCTCTCACGTTTGTAACCAGACAGCACTACAGCTACGTCAGCTCGAGTCATGCAAGATAGAGGCTCTACCACCTACACGAAAGTAACTAGACTCGCGACAAGAGCGCATACGCCTGCTACAATGATGACAGCACGTGCAAAGCGAGCACCGGTGCCGCCAGACAAGTCGGCGCCGGTAACGTCTTGTGGGAGGGTGCCTGAAGCCATGTTGGGGCGGCGTAGGCGAGCAAACAAACACGAAAGAAGTGGCAGTCGCAGTCGTGGGGTCAGTAGGGAGAAGAAAAGGCAGACGATGGTACTAGCGATGGATCGCAGCCATGGTGTGTGCTGTCGACTGCCACCCGGTGTCGTGCGTGTGGTCTTGTGCACGTTCGCCCTCCACAGTGTGGTAGGTTTGCGGAGAGGCAGAACAGGTCCAAGCTCGGTTTTCCTGCACGGCGCCCATGACGCGCATCCTGCGTGTCGCGCCTCGAACATCAATCGGCCCTGTCCTTAGCACTTGGGTAGCGCCATCTCCAGCTGCTTCATAGTGCGTGCACTTCGACGGCGCGATACCCACCCCGAATATCTTGAAATATCAACACCACGAGTCAATGTCGCCAGAGTGAGCAGGAGCCACCCCTTTGCTCCTTCCATCTCCGCTCGCCACGACAATGCGCAACTTCTCCCTCGAGCCATGAAGACGCCCACTCTCCTTCACATAACGCGCTGCAGTCATGGCGTCCCGAATCGTCGCGGAGCCCCTGGACCCGCGCGACGGCTTCAATTGGGTGTTCCTGGTTGAGCTGCTCATCTGCGGCATCCTGACCATCTTCTTCCTCTTCTACTTCAACCGCCTCTTCGCGACCCTCGTCTCCTACGGTATCCGCGCATACACTTGGCGCACCTTCAACGCCTACATCGACATCACCTCGCTGCAAATCTCTCTACTGGGCGGTCGCCTCTTCTTCAAGGATATTCGCTATCATGGTCATAACGAGACAATACTGGTTCATGGCGGATACATCACCTGGAACTATTGGTTACGGAGGGTCAAGGACGCGGGTGTATATACTGACGGCGACCCTTCCTCGGAACCCGACACTAGCAGCGAGCGTACACCAAGCACGCCCAGGAGCCGGTCTGACAGTCGAAGTGGGAATTTGGACAAGGCAGAAAAGGGAGGCAAGCAGACGCGGAAAGAGCTACCATGCCGCTTTTCCATCAAAATCTATGGAATTGAAGCCTTCATGTACAACCGGAGCCCTGCGTACGACGGTATCATAGACGCGGTCAAGAAGAAGGCGGAAAGCGCTGCCCAGGATGAGAAATCGCCCGAGGGATCCGTGGCCGACTACGAGAAGACCGAGAAAGACGAGCATCATCG